CGTGCTGTTTTTCCCACCATTTCCTGTTTCTGTCCACTTTGCTGCTCTCAACATCTGCATTCCCTGCATTCCCACGCATGCCACTCCCATCCACCAGGAGTAAACCGTTGGTGTCAAAGTGGCTGAACTGGAAGTTTGGGTGAAGGTGTCTTAGTGGCATTTTACCTGTCAAAGGTTTGATTGTAAGCAATGTTGAGCATCCAAAATAATGGCCATACCTGAGTTCATGGTCTCAGTTGGGTCACCGTTTTGCTTGTCAGAGGTCGACCGTAACATACACTCCCAATGACAATACGATCTACACATGCATTGTATTATCGACCTTTTTGTTGCTTAGTTTGAATCTTAAAAGACTTTTTGCCTGTTTCTACAAAGATTTAACAGTTTCTTTCTCTTTTTTAAAACAATATTTAATTTGTCTTAAAAAAAAAAAAAAAAAAGGAAATTCATCCTGGAATACTGCCTTCCATTCAAAAATACTGACCCCAACATAAACATAAAATGAGCCTATAAATGAACCTTATAGAGACAATTTAACATTGACAGTTATTTAAAAGGGAAAGAAGCATTAAATAATAATTCCCTGAATCTTTGTATTTCTACATAATTGTCCTTTATTTTCCAGTTTTTCCTTTTTTTTCGTTCTGAGGGTCAAAGCAGCTATCCAAGCCACATGCTGATTGAAGGCACAGTCTCTGAACAATAAGCCCCCCTGCTGAAACCTACAGTATGTTATTTAGCCTGTGCAGCAGGAGTTAATCTGGAGTTTAAAGTGTTAACAGAGAAAACTCCTCCAAACTGAGCCAATGCTCTTTCGTAAATTCCAAATATTTAACTCTTTTCTAAACACTGACTGACCTTCTACTGCACCAGAAACCACAGAGGCCTGTGCGTGTTACAGAAACCATATGGATTTTATTTCCTTCTTTCTTCCACTGTAGTAGAGGGGAGTCTACAACAGTCTAAACGACTGCAGTACTTTGAAAGTTCATCCTTTTCTCTTTGAAAGAATACACCCACACCTTCCATTTAAGCTTCTTCTTCTATATTTCTGCATTTAACATTTGCCTGAAGCACATAAAAATCTAAGCAGAAATGTAGCAAAAGGCATCAAAAGCATGTTTTTGTCTTTGCAAGCTTTGGAAACTCTGAGAGTTCAGAAAACTTCACTTTGATTGCACACACTGCACAGTGTTGAGAAACCATAGCCTCGTAGATAAGCTGGGGTGCATGTCATTAGGGTGTTCACTGATAAATGTCATTCAGCAGCAGCAAACATGCAGACAGTCGATACTGACAGATAACCTGTGAGCACATAGGATCCAAGAGCACAGTGTTCATAAAAGACTCTCTAGGTGTTAAAATCACACAGACATACAGTCATTTTGTGCTCAGATTATATGTGTACATATTTAAGAAACACATTTACAGCTTCATATTTCTATTCATGGACCGTAGTAGAGTAACTTTGGAGGATTCATTGCTCAAAATAAGTCTTATTCGGCTTATCCCAAGCCTTAAGGCAGCCTCTGAATTTATCCTCTATCTGAAACAAGCCATTTCATCTGCCTTTAAGGTTTTAATGCCAGAGCAGTGTGTCTGTG